CTGTATGGATGCCGCTCACGGTCCATGGACACGCAAAGCTAAAGGGAAATGACGGGTAGGGTTGAGTGACAGTTGTGACTGTGCTTCAACTGCGAATCTTGAATGATTGCAATGGAGAAAGTGTTTGCAAATGTTGCTTGGCAACGTACATTTTGCCGGGGTCCGCCGGTTTCGGTTTACGTATGAGGCGGATGCGAGAGCGCGCGCGCACGTCCACTTCTCTGCTACCGTCGGTGGAGGTTGCAGTGGGATCTTGATTCGCCGGTGGATATCATCACTGCGCGCTCAGTGGAGCTACTACTCACGGTGCTGCTGCACACTGAGCATTCTTATCGATTTCGATGCGACCACGAGTCAATACTCAGCCCCGCCATCGATCGAAGGACAGTCCTCCATTGCATTTGTGATTAAATAGAGAACGTGCGCGAGTGGACATACACTCGAAGCGTAGAGTGGGAAAGTCTCTCCTACCCAGATGGTCGATACCATCAGTCGCTGTGGACTTACGCAGCAAGCAGACTTAGAAGTAGCATCACGAGGGGAGTTCGAAGTGTCACGCTGGTGAAGAGCGCTTCTGCGGGATGAGCAGGCGACTACGTGACCGCCCCACGCGTGAGCTTCGGCTGCATCTCGCTCGCATAGATTTGATGAAGGGCTCCACGCTACGACGCAAATTGAATTGAAAGCGCTTCTTGTGGTGGTTAGCTTCGGCCTCAGCACCGAGCCAGAGCATCCGGACCTTGTACCTCTACCGTTCAAGCTGATGTGCACAACGTGTGGAGAGAGCCTGCTCGCTTGCTCATCAATAGACCAAGATGTCATGTGTCATCAGCATCTCACGAATCTTGACTGCCAACGCCGGCCCAGACGATTGAATTGGCTTTGAAGTGCCAAGACTCGTGGGCATCACGGAAAGGCCTGTGTGACGCGACGGTCGCAAGCAAGCAAATCCGCACTCTCTCCATGTCCTTCGTCAAGAGCCTTCTTTGCGAGCGTTCTGTTTTCGATGGCGTGGTTCGTTGTGTGGGTATATGCACAGAAGTGTTTCACGCACGCAGCGGCGTCAGGCCAAGAGAGGACGCTAGCAACACGGCCAACGGCGAGTCGGCGGA